TGTTAATTTAATTTAGTATTTGAGTGAAATTAGGTACATGTAGACATATCATATTAAAATGTACACATTATTTAATTATCTATTTATTTTTATGTAATAATATAATTATAAATATAATATATATATATATAATTATTGGATTAGTTGAGTTTGGATTTTAAATGTTATGCTCAAGGCTTGATCTGTTTTTTAAATTGAAATTCAATTTAAACCATAAACCCATTTAACAAGCTTAATATTTATTTTTAAATATTTTCAAACTTTAAGAAATTTTTTGGGCTAAAATAGATAACCCAACTTTTAGACAAATTTATAATTTATAAGTCATTTAAATTTATTGATTAATTTTATATTTTTAAAAAATTTAATCAGATATTAATATTTTAATTTTATAATATGTGTTCTACTATTACGTAATATGAATTCATGTCATGTTTATTTTTTTAATTTATTTTAAACTTAAAATTATGTGAATTTGTCATTTTATTTCTAGTATTTTGATTACACCTATAATTATATATTTATTTTATGTAAATGAATAAAATAAAATTAGTTTGACCTCTTAATTAAGATTGAGATCCGTCTGTGGTGACATTGTAAGTAATCAATGTTTAATGGAATGGCAACAAATAAAAATAAGGCGGGCAAACCTTATATTATAGTTAAAATGCAGACTTAATTCCTTTATATTAATTTCAATATAACAAGCACTTCTAATGTTTTCGTTTTCCAATTTTCGTCCAGAAGTAAATGGTGGTTAAATTCATCCGTTACAGTTAATGATGTATTCATTGATTGAATTACATATTATTGATTGGTTGATACGATCAAATTTAGACCGATAAAATGATTTATTTTTTAAGACAAGGATTAGAAAAATTTAATGTGACCAGTAATAGCAACTTTTAATTAATTTATTTCAAACAAAAAAAAAATTATGATATATTTTGTTAGAAAAGTCGGATAAAAAAAATGGAAGAAAAATAATTTGGAGATTTCTAGACCCTAACCATCGAAAGGCTAACAAACATCATTGATTGAGCAAATTATCGACATGAATACGCAAAGAATCAAGACAAATCGAAATGTTAAACTCAAGTAGTGGCAAATATTTCAAGATCAAGAAAATATTTAATTTTATTTAATTTTTTAATTTTTTGAAGTTTTTATATAATTTTTTTTTTTATTTTTTTACATTCTTTTGTGCTTTTCAAAAGAATTTATAAGTTTTAAAAAATTTTTACATATTTTTTTTTTTATGTTGAACAATTAAAAATAAATCGTAATAAGAAGTTATCTGTTGTTACTTTGTTTTACCCCATATTTTTATTTTCTTACACCTCAAATATACCAATTCTAAATACCTATTTTTTATATAATTTATTTATTTATTCATTTAAATATTAAAAATTTTAAAAAAATTTAAAAACATAAAAGATTAAAAAATATAGAAAAATTTTAAAAAATTATAAACAAAAAAATTAAGTATTTTGATTTAATAAAATGTCAAAATTTTGAAAAATAAAAAATTCAAAATAGGAATTTATTTTTAAAAAATTAAAATATTGCAAAAAGTAAATTTAATATTTTAAAAAATCTAGGAAATTTCTAAAATATTCAAAATATTAATTTTTTTTAAAAAAATCTGATTTAAAAAATTTTTAAAAAACTAATTGTTAAAAAATTAAAATATTTTTAAAAAATTAAATTTAATATTTTAAAAATACGAAAATTTTCTAAAAATTTTGTAATATTATTTTTTTAAAAATAAAATTTGGGTTTTTTAAAAATTAAAAAAATTAATTTTTATTAATAATTGGAGTAATATTATTAAATTTAACTTATACAATAATAAAATTTTTATAAAATTATACAAAAAATTTAAAATTTAAAATTTATATAAATACATAAATTATTTATATAATTTAACAATTAATTTTATCTTTGACACAAAGTCACACTACTATGCATTCGAGGGAGACGCAAAAGGTGTCATCGCTCAGATTTCAGGCCCACATGTCCTTAATCCGTTTGTGGTGGGAAATCAGATAATGGAAGTAGAAGAAAAACTGACCACGTTACTGCAGTGGAAGGCCAACTTTGTTCAGCGAGAAGCGATTGACGCAGCGCATAAGTTAGCGCGGATGGCAGCTCAGAACATGGAAACCAAATATTCGTACGAGGTTGCCCCACCTAATTCGAGTACACTGTGTTGCGAGATTGTGTAAACTATTGGAAATGAATTTATCTTATAAAAAAAAATCAACACCAAGTTAACAAAGTCAACAATCACAATATTAAATCAATGATCACATTAATATTTTAATAATAAAAAATCAATTAAATTAGTAATTAAATTAAAATTATTAAATTAAAATAATAAAAAAAATTAAATTTATATAAATTACAATACAAATACTAAATTTTCTATTTCAACATAATCCAAGATTTTTTACATAATTTAATTAATTTTAAAAAGTGACACATAATGCCACACTTTCGTTATCATCTTTTGTATGTTAATATTTTAAAAAACCTTAAAAAGATATTTGATTTACGAAATATTAGATTTTAGTGAAAAGTGTAATTTGTGAAAAAATGTAATACCTTGAAGTTTTTTTTTATTTCAAAATATTTTATGTTTAGATTCACTTGTTTAGTTAGAAAAAATTATATATATTAATTTTTGAATAATTACTATAATCTTCTTAATATATATGATGGTAATTTTTTATTAATTTTTATTAATAATAAATACTTAAATGATAAATGATACCTTTAACAGTAAAATAAAATAAATATTTTATTTGATTATTGTTTTATTTATAAAATATCATCAATAACAAAATATTGAGGATTATTTAAGGTGTTTTTAATTGGTAAACGTCTTAAATAATCCCTTTATTTTAAAAAAAAAATTATTTAAAATACTTTTAGACCAAAAACGTTTTAAATATTCTTTAATATTTTTTTAATAAGGATTATTTAAGGTATTTTTAATAAAAAAATATCTTAAATAATACTCTTTAATTTTTTTATGAATATTATTTAAGGTGTTTTTAATTAAAAACGTCTTATATAATTTTTAATTTTTTTAAAGAAGATTATTTAAGATATTTTTTATAAAAAAAAACCTTAAATAATACCTTTCATTTTTTTAAACCTTATTATTTAAAGCGTTTTTTACTAAAAATATCTTAAATAATCTCTTTAATTACTTATAAGATTTAAGAGATAAAATATATAAAAACTGGAGTAGCTCAGTTGATTAGAGTATGTGGTTATTAACCATAAAATTGTTAATTCAACCCTTTTTTTTGACCTTTTAATTTTTTAAGGGGATTATTTTAAGGTATTTTTAGTAAAAAAACACCTTAAATAATATCCTTCAATTTTTTGGATCATATTGTTTAAGGCATTTTTGATTAAAAATACTTTAAATAATCTTTTTCATTACTTACAAGATTTAAGAGATAAAATATAAAAAAATTGAAGTAGCTTAGTTAGTTAAAGCATACGGCTATTACTTATAAAATTATAGATTTGATCCTTTCCTTTAGAGTATTTCTTTGGGGATTAATTTTTTTTTATTTCTTAATTGAGTTATTTAAAGCATTTTTGGTCAGAAAAACACTTTAAATAATGCTGATCAATTTTTTTAAGAGATTATTTAAAGTGTTTTTGGGATTACTTTTATTTTAAATTATTTAAGACATTTCTAGCTAAAAAACGCTTTAAATAATGTCGATTAAATTTTTTAAGGAATTATTTAAAGCTTTTTCTATGCCAAACACCATTAATTACGATATAAAAAAAATTTTAGCAACAGAAATTTACAATTGATTTGCAGTCACTTCCAAATATAATTTTCAAAATAGTAATGACTATTTCATAATTTTTTTTATTCAGATCAAATTTGAAAATAACATAATTTTTTTTCTCAAAATCTTAGGAAACCACAAGAAAAAAATAAGTTTTTGATTTCGAAACTTCAGATACTATTGAGAATTTGTCATTTCTTCTTACAATTAGATTACATTAAACTAAACATTGTAATCAAATATCCCACAATAAAATTCTAAAAAAAAATACATAGATTTTTTTAACCAAGTGATAATAAAAGAGTGGCACAAGCTTAATATGTATCATTTTAGTATATGTATCATTGTTCAAACTGAAAGTGACACTAACCCTTCATTTAAAACCACAAGATGTATTTTTTAAGTTAAACTTAATAATTTGTGTTGTTTAATTATAATAATTTGTGAAATATTAATAAAATTTTATTTATTTCGTAATAAAATATAATTAAATTATTAAATTAATGAATATATTTATTTATAGGCAAACTAGTTTTTATAATAGGAATTATGTAAAAATCATTTGAATTATAAAATAAAATAAATCTATTAAAATCATAACAAAAGAAAAATAAAAAGCTTATCTTATATATATAACATTAAAAAAAGTTAAAAGAAAACACTCAAATTATCTTTGAACTTATTACAATAAATATTAATTTTAAAAATATAAAAATTTATAATATAAAATAATTATAATTTTTAGAAAAAAAATTTATAATTTATATATTAAATGAGTAGTATTGACTATTGTTAATTTTGCATATCACTTTACTTTAGTAATGAAAGTTTTTCATTATATATGTGAGTTAAATTACTTAAAAAGTAATGATCCGATCATTTTGATGATCCAAAATTACTAACATATAAAATTACCGAATGCTTATCGAGCATGATGATCTACTTACCATGTATAAAATACATAATTTTTTAAATAATCATCATCAAACGCCCTCCAAGAGTTTTCCTTGAAGACCTACAATTGATAATCACTAAAAAGGAATTGACAAGTCCTTTGAGGGATAATGTACCGCTAAGTTTTAAATCAATTTAAAGATCATTAAAAGGAATATGATCAGGATTACTACTTGCCTAACTTGGTTAAATCAGGCATAACTACAATGATTTACAACATATTTGCAGAACACCCATTTTCTAATTTATCAGAAAAAAAAAAACAAGTTGGAAAACACCTGTGATCACACGAAAATCCATCCAGTTTAATATACAAAAGATTCATAACGGTCATTGTTTCTGCTACAAGCTAAGCATCCATCCATCAAAGGGAACAAGTAAACAAACCATTCATCAATAAAGGAATGCACTCCAAACACTAACGACACTTTTGACACCACAGGGTTGTCACTCAAGATAGGCTAACTAAAATCAAAGTGAATATAAAGAGTAAAATCGAACATCATATCGCAAGCAGACTACATAGTTTAGACAGACAGTAATACCATATCATTACCTATGATTCTGCAACCATTGCTAAATTGGCAAACAAGCTTCTGATTGACGACCAAGCAACATCATCTTACAACATATACATGCCCAGAAGTTGTCAAAAACATCAGCACAAGCAGAAAACTTGTACAAATATCGAAAACATCTAGGATTGGAAGGGAAGATTGGTGGTTACGTTCACCAAAGCATTTCAATCAGAAGCTTTGTCCAGTTCCTGGTACCGAGGAGCATGCCGTTTAGAAGAACAAGCTGAAAGAACTGATCCAGTCATGCTTAACGAGTGCTTAGCGAAGCCCATACTTTTCTTAGTACCCAACCAGACAGCCCAAAAGAATCCAACCCAACCTGATTGATATGGAAATATCAATGGATAAGCACTAGTCCAGAAATTTAAGTTGCATAATTAAAAGCCTAAAACAATTTTCAATATGAAGAATCTCAAAAGCCTCATGTTGAAACAGCTTGAGATAGCAACTAAGAAGACCTGGTACACCACGATTACTTAAGATTACCACATTAGCATAACAATGGTTAACAGTGTCCCAAAAAGACAGCAATTGGCGCAAAAGAGACAAAAAACTGTGCAGATAACACTCAATAACAAAACTACCAGAATGTGCACTAGGAAGAATCTCAACTTTGGCATTGAAACATCTTATCCCATTTCAATTAGGAGGACATGAAACACCAGAATAGCACGAATTAGAAATGCCAAAAACACATGGGAACCACTGTGTATGAGCATGCAAACTCATGGTCATAGGTTCCAGCAAAAATTTATAAAGAAAAAGGTTCAACCCTAAATAAAGAAATAAGTGAAAAGGCTTCATCTTGTAGTTTCTAAGCCAAGCATGAAAATTGCATGTTATAAATAGAAAGAACAAAATCTTGAAATTCATAAGAATGAAACAAAGAAAAAACTAAAATAGATGCTTAAAGAGATATACCTGTAGCTACAAGAACAGCTACAATTGCTGAAATTGTTGCAATAGAAATAACAAAAGCAGCAACAGATAAGGCCCCAACATAAATAGCAGTTACACAGGTAAAGAAAAGAGCCAAGAAGCCTCCTGCAACAGCCAAAGAGATGAGGAGAGAGATGATGATGACATTGACAGTTGCGGCCAGAAAGAAAAACATAAATACAAGCAATCCTGCCAAGGTAAGAAGAGTAATAGTCCCAACCTGCAGAAGTGTTGGTAAAAGGAAAAAATCAGAGGAATTCTGAAAAATGTGAATTAAGGGAAGCAGCTGACATGAGGCAAGAATAAGGGCAAGAGAAGCACACTAATGTATTGATTAAAATCAAAGGTCACTTATTTGTCATAACTAGATATCAGTATGAGTTGCAAGAAAGAAGAGCAGCTTGGTGTATAAGAGATACACAAAGAAGTTGAAGGGGGACAAAGGGAGAAAAGTTATAAAGTCCAGAAAGCACAAAAGCAATTCTAAACTCATACCACCAAATGTAACTCAGCTATAAAATAAGTTGCAACAATTATGAATTCAAGTTTTCCATGTCAGTGTCAGGAAAAATCAAGCTAAGAAAAAAGCTTGTTGGGACAAGAGAAATGGCAGGGAAAGTATATACTACTATGTCCAATTCAGAAAGAAAATTTGCAGCAGGGAAGTTGAATTAAGTTTAGGTGTAAGCATCCAAAAATTTGAAGTAAAAGGAAGAAACTGGTAGTGAAATTTCATATATAATTGAATGTTCAAACACTATAGGAGATTCAACCCATCAATACTTTATATGTCATCGACTCCAACTGTCAATGTCCATTTTGGCAATTTGGCTGTAACCATTATCCTACTTTAAAATATAGGGCCCTTGCATCCTTCCAAATCACAAGTAAAACATTCTTTATGATTCCACCTTTCATAGTAAGGTGTTTGACAACAACAACAACAACAAGACTCATCCAAGCATCTAAAATGATGTGTTTTTCTTTATACATCTTAGGACAGTCTTAAATGAACTCTGCAAGAAACTGTTCACATGATCTTTGCAACTGTTCAAACATTTCCTCAAGAGCACATGACAAAGTAAACAAACACTCATTTATAGGATCTTCTATTATTAACTATTTGACTTAAAACTATTCTCTCGTTTGTACTCTTCATTTCAGATTTTTGTTCCCTATAACCTTGCTTTTGCTTATTCAAGAGAAACATATATATATATAGATATATATATATATATATATATATATAGTCAATCATTGGAAACAACATAGTTTCATCTCTTCGAGCCTCTCTCTCTCCACCCAACACGCACATATGCGCTGATGTACACACAAAGAACTCAATGCTAGCATTGAGGATGTTTTTCTCAAAATCAAAAGTAGCTCCATGGTGTTTGCAATCTGTCAACTTAACTACCTATCTCTCATCCCAATGATCATAATCCTCCACATCCCTGCAAAACCATACTCATTAAGGCTTAATTAGGTTGTTGTTATTACTTCTTGCTTCTTTAAAAGTTGCTCTAAAGCAAATCATATTTGATTAAAAAGGAACAAAAAATTAAAAATATAACACCAACTCTAACACCATTTTCGGCATAGCAGTAAAATCATGAATGTTGTAGTTCGAAGAAATGAAATGTTTAATCTTTGATTGTTTAACATATAGCTCCCATTTTGCATTTCACTTTGAAATTTGAAAATCAAAATCAAAGCAACAACTAGGGGAAGCTTAACGCTTCGACATTAGGCTTAAATTCACATAATTTTTTAATAATTTGTCAATTGTAAAGCAAGACAAAAACAGCAAGAAATTATTTAATTAAATAATTAAAAAAACTCCTCACAGAAATGACGAGAAGAGCACGAAGGGGGCTGCCTCTACGAGTCCACAACTGAACAGTCCGGCCAGTGTTTTTGGAGGCTTCGCTGAGACGAGGCCCATTCTCTGAAACAGAGATCTTGATCCGCTGTAGCAGTGGAGTTGATGCCGATGACGATGCATCAGGGAAGATGATCATCGAAATCAAAGAGAGGAGAACGCCGTAGAGCGTTTCCTCCGTATGGCCGCAGTTGTTTTTGTCTACGGCAAGGCCGTTAATTTGCTCCGCCATTGCTGACTGCAAGTTGAAGATTGAAGCTTGAAGATAGAAGAGAGAAGATGAGCTCAGCTCCAACGACACGTAGTATAGAACTAAAATTTTCTGGTTGGCCGTTGGGATTTATTTTTCAATTTGTTAATGATGGCGATTAGTTTTTATTATTATTATTATTATTATAATTATTATTAAGGCAATGTTAACCGGAGTTTACAGGAATAAAATAAAAAATTTAAAAACAAGCATAGAAAGACATACAAACAAGAAACAAAATTTAAAACAAAATCTTCAATGAAATAACCTTTTTTCTTTTCTTATATTTTTATTTTTAGTTTTAAATGTTTTTATTAAAATGCTTATAATTTACAATAAAATGAACAAAATCATTCAATTGAGCGAATAATAATAAAAAATATATATTGCTTATAATATAGTAAGAAAAATCAACAATTGAAATATAATCGCAACGTATTAAATATTATATTTATTTTTTAAAATTTTAATATTTTATAGTATTTTAAATGTTAATTATTATTTTTATTTTTATATTAAAATAATCATAATATATTAAAAACAAACAACATTGATGAATAAGAGTAAGTGCGAAGAGCTAAAATCTAGCAATTATGATTCAAGACTTTCGATTTGAGATGTTAATGGGTGGGATAATTTTTTTTTTTTTAAAATTTTTTATTATATATATTTCTGTTTTTATATTTAATAGATATTTTAAATTTATTTAAATTTAAATTTTTAGATTTTTAGATTATATTTATTTGTATGAGTATTTGATAGATATAGATAATTTTTATACTTATAATTTTTTTAAAAAATAAAAATAAAAATAAAAATTTATTTTTTTAATTTTTTAATTTTTACTTGTATATTTAAATAAATTTTTTATAAATATATATACATATATTTTTTAATAAAAATATATTATTTTTAATTAATTTAAAATAATAATTTATATTATTTAATAAATATATATATAAATATATATTAAGGTATGTATATGGGTGTTATATTATTTGTTTTCATTTTTGTACCAAATAAAAATTAAAAATTATATATATTCATATTTTCATACTCATAATATAATAAAAAAAATTAAGTTTCTCATTAAATATGGATAAAATTAACATTCTTATTTTATGATCAAATCAAAAGTGAAAGATCTTATTAAAAAATTAAATATTATAGTTATTTTTTAATTTAATATTCTTATAAGATCTCAAGTATGAGTTAATTTTATATTTTTATTTTACAACAATCGTAAATATATTAAAAAAAAATATATTTTTTGATGAATAACAGCCGACCCTAACTTAGCAGCGAAATTTTAGTAATTTAAATTCAGGACTTGGATTAAATCAAAACCGAAGTGTTTATTATCTTAAAGAAATGATTCGTTTTTCATCTATTGGCTTCCCATCACATTGGTGCCCTTATTTATTTTTGGTTAGACTTGTGCCAAATTTCATTTTCCCATCGAAAATCATACTTTAATCTAATGAATGAAATGTATTAAGATTCAATTTGATATTGTGATTTTTATTTCAATCATTACAATTGCGAATGAAGCAACCGAGTTGAATTATTTAATACAGATTATTAATTTTATTTTGGATAATATTTATTTATTTATTTATTATAAATTAAAATTTAGTGATTGCTGTCAAATATTTTGTTGTAATCTAAAACATCCATGAGATGAAAACTTTTTTGGCCTAATCAACCATCACAAAGCTAAGCAATAAATAGAAAGTAATCCATAAATCGGCATTGTTCATTAAAAATAATGAATTTTTTGCCATTTGTCATCTTTTCGTTGGCACAGAAAATAATGATAAAATCGCCTTTTTAGGTTTTAGACAAGTATTTACATTTGTCCCATGTCTTTTAATGTTGTTACCTTCAATTAAAATTAAAAAATAAAATAAAATAAAATAAAATTTTGAGAAGAGAAGAAACTTCAAGATTTGAAGAAAAAGGAGGGACGAGTGAGATAAGAAAGAATGCGGAGGCTTTCTAAAAAGTTTCAAAGGAAAAGCTATTTTCTTTTTTATTCTTTCTTTCATACACTTCCGTTCTCTTTTGTTTTTATTGTTCTTCATTTTTCTTACCTTACATATGTTTTTTTATTATTCAATTATTTTATTTTGAATTTGGCTTTTATATTGAATCTGATAATCAATAAGAGATTACGCATAAGATATGGTTATTATTATTCTTTCGTTATTGCTCTTTATTATGTCAAAAATTTTCCATGTGATTTTGTATCAAATCAATTCTAAAATTTCAATTTTTCAACATTTACAGGATATTTTTGTTTCACTTTTATTTCAGATGCAAATCAAGGTAAGCTCCTTTTTTTTTTTTTTTAATATTTCCTTAATTTTCGTTTTTTGTCATTTTTTCTTTTTCTGCAATTTTTTTTTCTTTTCTTTCTCAGATAAATTTATGTCTTAAATTTGAAATTATTGACTTTTAGCTGATACTTAACACAAATCAATACAAACAACCAATGGACATGTTTTAAACCTTTAAAATTGAATTAATGAACAACAGTAAAACTAAATAAATCCAATGTTCTCTTATAAACTTTCGATTGAGTAATGCCCATTTGAGTAATACCATGAGTATGAGTTTTTATATCTAAGATTAGCTTTTACTATTTTTTCTTTCAGTTTATATCTTATTTAATCTGGTTGGTTGCATATCATATGCATTTTGTATTGTTGTTATGTTAATCTTTCATTAACCTTTGAATCTTATGCTTTCTTTTTTTAATTTTTTTATAAATGAAGATAGTTGCATGTTCATTAGCATTGCTGTAATAGTTTTTGAAACCAGAAGAAGCAATTTGAAATGTGGTTTTCCTTTCTTAGAATGGGCTAACTTTTCTATTTCTTGCATTTAAGATGGGCAATTAGTTTTAAGAATTTCTCAGCAAAAGATCTATTGGAAAGGCATTTCAATTAGGCTAAAATGGTCAAATTGAGGTAAGTTTCTTTCTTTATAATTTTGTGTTTGTCAAGAAATTTAGATGCTATAATCATTTTATAGTTGCCTTAAAATCAAAACATTAATATGCATTTGCTGTTTGTCTTTTAATAGCTCTTTATAAGAGCACATAATACATGAACAGTCTTATTTTCTATTTGTTCAGTTTTTATTATTTTACTGTCTTATTTTATATTACCTCAAAAAAAAAAAAAAAAGTAGTGAGAAGTTATGAAACCATTACGTACGTTTATTCGCAATAGATTGATCTTTCACTTTTAAAAGCTAAAGGCATAGGTTAATTTGGTAGCTAAATCATGGAGAGAACAAACCTAGCTATAATGAACAGGATGTTTGGATGATGCATAAAAAGTTACTAGACTTTTAAAGCAGAAATCCAATTTCGTTTTTCTGTGCTTGAGTTGTTAGATTGGTTTTGAGAATTTTGTTTTTTTTTTTTTTATTGTTGAGATTGTTGAAGAAATTCTATAAATTAACTTTGAGATCAGTTTTTTTTTTAATTTTTTTTATTGTTCTTTTATCGTAGTAATGATATTTGTTTTAAATAAGTTCTTTATTGGATTGTGATACTGCTACGATGAAGTTGGTTTTGCTGTTGATTGTAGTTCTCTATTATTATTTAGTTTCTAATTAAAAGTTTAACTTCTTAAAATGTCAAGCCCAAGCAAAAAGTTTATTTCAAATCAATACCAGTAAATTAAAGCTGGCCCTTTTCATTGTTAAAATATCCTCTTTCCACTTTTTGATTCTAACTTTAAATGGTAACTTCATAGTATGTTTTGTTAATTTTTATTTTATTACGCAACTCTCTCCAGATCTATTCTTTCCACTTCACTCTTTCTCTTCAGCCAAACACCTACACTCTTTCTAGATCTATAAGCTCTCTCTCTCTCTCTCTCTCTCTCATTTTCAATTTTCATCTACATTTCGTTATATCCTGTTATCTTTTAAATTTCACATTAAAAATATATATAGTTTACAATTACCCATAGCGTGGCACGAGTTCATAATATAGTATTCACAAAAATTGTTAATTTCAAAGTCAATTTTCGTAAAACAAATCAAAGCCTAAATCAACAGTACCATTAATCCACGTCGAAATTGATTCTCAAATTTCAATACATAATTTGAAAGCCGTGAAATTTTTATTTATAACGAACTTACCCGCAAAAAGCTTTATTAGGGAGCATCCAATTATCTCCTTTTTCAAATGGTTTTCTTCAACATAAATTACAATGGTTTGTTGTTAAAACAAATTACTTACAATGGTTTTGATCCATTGGTAGAACACAGTGATGCAAGTCAAGATGTGAACATTTCATTGGGAATTCCTAAAAGCACTGTTTATCCATGGGTTGTTCAGAGAACAACAATGCTTGTATTGTGCTTACAATGGCTTGAGGGCTCAATGTAGCATCAACCTTAAATATCCCCTCAGCGTCATCTATGTGAAGCAAGTCTAGTTGGGATTGCAGAAGTGTTACTGGCATGAAATGCTTCCCTTCTGCGGCTCTTTTCTCAAGCCGACCAGCAATAACCTCGGCCTGAGCATCCAATAGAACAAACTGCACTCTACTGGCATAGCTGCCATGCACATAAGCAGCATCAGCAGATCTTAGAATTTCTCTGTAATGTTTTTGCAGAGCAGAACACCCAAGTATCACAGTTTTTCTACCTACTAAGTTCTCTTTGAGAACATCCCGTAGCATTTCCAGCCATGGAATCCGATCCTCCTCTGAGAGAGGAATACCTTGGCGCATCTTTCCTGCGTGTTTAGATGAATACAAATGTTAAAAGACAGTTAACAAATTTAACCCTATAGATGGAAAAAAAAAAAAAAAGAGAATAAATGTGAATACATGCTCAATTTTACCTTTGTTTGATAGTGGATGGAAATCATCAGCATCGAGAAAGCTACAGGTCAAAACTTTGGCAAACATACCACCTATTGTGCTGATTAAAGACGTAAAGTCAGTCAAAGGGCATCAACAGGATCTTAGTGTTACCTTTGTAATAGATGAGATATAAAAGGCATGGGAAACCAGTGTAAAAATAAACAATAAAAAGAAAACTAGTTCGCATTGCAATAGTACAATTTAATAACTGAATCTCCATTATAGACTGACAGAATATATCAAAGCTCTGTCTTGGATGATGCTTTTTCCACTTACTTTTCGCTATATGCTTTCTACTTCTTGAAGAAATACCATAAAGCAAAAAACAAAAGGTAAAAAGCAACATCATAATTTATTTGAACTGGACAAACACTCAAATATAACACCAATTATAATATATTAGTCTATATAGAAGTTTGTTATCTAAAACAATTAAATATTTATGTATAATTACCCTTTTTTTTTTTTGCTTTTGTGTCCAAACATGTTTTTTGCTTTGAAGTTTTCGGAAGCAAAAGTGCCGACTAAACAAAGCTTAACAAAATTCATAGAGTGCATGTAATTATTGTCAAGTCAAACAAATTATCAAGAAAATGAGAGAGAAGATAATGAACAACTGATAAATCGAATCTTGATGATTCCATCAGAATCAAAGTTCTCTTCTATCAAAGATCTCTTGGGTTCTCAACGGAGGGAAAAAAAAAGGATGATGAACAAGGGGGAGGAAAAAAAACTACATCACATTGACATTCTACCAGAATCTATATCTAAATAAACTAGAAGCCTTCTGTCAATTGAATGAATTAGACAAAGAACATGTACAGAGCGCTTAATCATGCCACTACAATAACTACAACTGTAACAAAAATAATGTAAGAGAGTTTTAGTGCAAAGAAGAGCAGTTATCACCAAATAATCATACAGCTTTTGGGAAAGTTCTAATTGAAAGAGTAATTATTCAAAGCAAAACATTTTCATTGTGCTGTTATGACCAGTACGAGATGAAATGGGCTTGGAGTTAGTATTGGGCTAGTAATGCATGAAGAATCCATATTGTTAGTTGTTTAGCCTTCAGTCAGTTGTTAATTATTTAGAAAGCAACAAAGTTTGTTATTTGTTTTGGTATTAGCTGTAGGGGTTGTGCTTGGAAATGGCTATGTTGTTATTATGAGGATGTAGGCATGAAGAACAAGAGTAAGTCTACTTCCCCTTCAATGCAATATCTCCATAGCTCCTCTTTCCAAGTTGCTACAGCAACAAATTTCAAATCAGCTGGCATAACAGATTCAATTTTGGCCTCAAAAGATATCAAGTTTAAACTTTACTATCAAGAAGAAAAGCAGGTTTAAAAGTTACAAGAAAGGTATCATTCTGGAAACCTATAGCATTATTATCCAAAACCATTCATTTCATGGAGGACAGCAAACCTATCGTATAATAATTTTGATGAAAGTTGTTGCCAAATGAACTACAAAATTATCACATAATCAACGGATAACTTTTCTTTTTCCACATATAAATGAAAGAAGAGGTCAAGAAACTTGAATAACAAAGGGAAACATGTTGGGAGAATAACAAGTGATGGAAATAATAAAAAGGCTTACGATTTGCCAGAGCCACTAACACCCATAATCACAATAACTCTTCCTACAAACAGAAATACAAGAAATATAAATTGGCAATTTGAATGGGATACAACAATTGAGTCTCAATAACAGCAAATATCAGATAAAAATGACCTTTGTGATCAAAAGACATGATTAAGTCCAAGATAAGATACGATCCTTCCTTCACTGAAATTCACCAACCTGAGAAGATGTAAAGGCAGGGAAGCAACAAGAAAATGAAAAGAGAAAGAAGATGGGAAAAAGATAGAATAGAATAGTCAACAAAAAAAAAGTAGAATGTGCATTTGTACCAAAGTCAACAGCCCCATTGTCATCCCCTTTCCTCGGACATACCAGCCACCACAACCACAACTCGCGATCCCAGAAAATCTGGGATTTGGTCTTGCAAAACTATTCAAATAGGGTCCAATTATAGAGCAGGAGGGGGAACACACTGAAAAAAAAAAAAAGGAAAAGGGAAGAGGGGATGATGATGGGCCTCCGGCGGCGGCGAGGTTGAGAGGAAAGAGAGGCGGCTAGAAAGAGAAGAGAAAGAAAATAATGAGCAAATTTTAAAATCTAATAAAATTATTTTATTAAAATAATTAGTGGAAAGTAATTTGTAACATTAATAATAATAAGATTAATATTATCAAATTTAATTTATACAAAAAAATTATAAATAATATTAAAGGATTAAAATTTAAATTTTAATGTAAATATAAAATTATTTATATAATTTAATATTAATTTTATTTATTCAAATTATCATATCAAAATATCAACATAACATCAATAAATTTAACCGAAAGTCTATAAAATTAATGCTTATTAATAAAATCAACATTATATTATTAAGTTAACAAATATATCAATATTTTTAATACAAAAATTTGATGAAATTAATAATTCGATTAAGATTATTAAATTAGAATAATAGAAAAATTACGTTTATACAAATTATAATAAAGAGATTAAATTTTGAATTTTGATAGATTACATGAATTGTTGAAATAATTTGACAAAAAAAAAAAAAAAAAGAAAGAAGTAGGTGGGCCGGATCAGTCTTCAGCCAAGCTAACTTGGGTCAGGCTCAATAGGATTTTGGCTAGCTTGTGAGGTATAGGCTTAGCCCATCTTTTATTTTGCTTTTGATTCGTCCTTTTTGTTGTATAAATTTAAATTCTTGAAATTACTTGAAGATGTAAAAATAAATATATATGACGGAAATAAAAACTAGATTTAACAAATTAAATAATGAAGGATAATTATTTAGAAAAACTCCAAAATTAAGATTTTTTAGCAATATTATAAGTTACAATTTTTAAAAAATTTTTTAAGTGAAAAATAAATTTGGGTATCTATCGAAAGTGTTGAGAAAGTCTCAAAAAGTATTTTCACAATGTAAATTAATTCTAAAGTTACTAGGATATATATATATATATAATATTAATTTATAATAGTATAAAAATTTTTAGTTTTACATATTTTTTAATTATTAATTTCAATAGATCTAAAGTACGAAAGAGATAAGTAAAAAAAAAAAAAATAATCTCATTTATTGCATTTATTGAAATCAATAGTTAAAAAAAATATAAAACAAAAAAAATTTATACTAATATAAATTGATCATTCCTCATATGTACAAATATATGTGTGTGTGTGAAAGGATCAAATAGTAATTAGAATTTCAAATAAATTGTAGAATTGCATTACTATATTTATTTGCACTACGTAATTATGTAAGTAAATATAAATCCAACTAATGATAGAATTTTAAAGAAATTGTAAGTGATTTTTTTTTTTACATTCTTAGGCAAATAAAATTTTTAAAATTCTACCAATAGTTTCGGAGAAATTAAAAATATAAAATATAAAGGGTTTTCATTTAGTATATGAATAAAATTTGCTAATATTTAATTCAAGAAATTATTTGAAAATAAAATAATAAAAATATTATTTAAAATTTAAAGATTGTAAAAATAAAAAAATCTCAAAAAAATTTAAGAAAGAATAAATTACATGAAAATAAAAAAAATTGAAAGAATAAAATTAAAATTTTTATTAAAATATCCAATAATAGAGTTTCTTTTAAGAACTTAAAAGAATAGTGATTTTCTTAGAGGTTTTTCATTAAGAAGGAAATTTAAATATTTAAATAAAAAATTAAAAAAATAATGAAACATATAAATTCAATAATGGAGTCTCCACAAGAAAGTAATGACTAAAATATTTTTGAGGTGAGGAGATTTTTTTTCGATTTTTAAAAAGCCTTTTGAAAAATTTTTCAATATTTAATGTTAAAATAATTATAAAATAAAGAGAAACTCCTTACAGAAAAAAATTTATGTAATATATGTATTTTCGACTCCTTTTTTGAGTAAATAATGATGGTTTAAGTTTTTTTAGAGAACTTAATTTATGTATGGTTATTTTTTCTTTATAATAATATTATTACACGGTCGTCAAAATGTGCAGGTTCATAAACTCAACTTTAGGATGTAAAAATTTTGTAAATAAAAAAAAAAAGAGAGTCATCACCAATATTTTTTGTTAAATATGATTGATAATGTCATAACATCTAGATCCGTAGACCTATTGCTAAACATTAATATAAGGAGTCACCATTAATCTTTTTTATTTAAGTACAATTGGTCACTTGACTGAATCTGTCATTTTTTTTAAAAAAATTCTAAGTTTGACTTAAGACTCTTCGCAAGGTAGATTCAATGTCTGTGAAACCAGAATTGGGTCCGGGAGAATGGTTATGTGTAAGGAGGGTTATAGTACCACTACAACGTTCATCGAAAGATGGTGTCAACTCGATTTCGTGTTACCCATTAGCCCTAAAAAATTTTACAAGTAATTAATTATTAAAAATTATTTTTAATTTACTCTAATACTTTTGACAAAAAATTAAAAAAATTCTCTCACTTCAAGAGTATGTAAGAAAACTACTATTTTTCGTGTAGAAGTTCCGTCATCAGATTATTTGACATTTAAAAAAAAAGACCCAAGAAAAAAAAAATAATAATGCTTCAATTCTCGATAGAGATCTCTTTTGTTTTATATAAATAGACAAATTGATACTTTCAATTTTTTTCAAAATATTTTTTTTGAAATTTTTATTTTCAAGAAAAATTGATACTTTTAACTTTTCGTTAAAAATGTCTTTTTTGAAAACTTTATTTTCAAGAAAAATTTATATTTTCAACTTTTCCTCAAAAATCTCTTTTTTTGAAATCTTTATTTTTGAGAAAAATTGATATTTTCAATTCTTCCTCAAAAATAATTTTTGAAAATTTTATTTTTAAGAAAAATTGATACTTTCAATTTTTCCTCAAAAATATTTCTTTTGGAAATTGTATTTTCAAGGACAATTGATACTTTCAACTTTTCCTCAAAAATAATTTTTTTGAAATTTTTATTTTCAAGAAAATCATTGAAAATTAAAGAATGTTTAATTAAATAAATAAATGATTTTAATTTAATCAATAAATACATAAGCAAAAAAAATCAAAATAAATAAATAAATAAATAATACATAAGTAGAGAAATGGAAGAAAAAACAAAAAAAAAGAAAAAAAAAAACCCTTGGCACAGCTCGGCTAGGCTTGAACAAAGTGCAGCTTCAGAGACAAGAGTGGCTAAAACAATTTAAAATGCGACTAAAATCAACGGCTAAACAACGACTAAGTGAAGCAGGTAAGCGGGTTGATGCGATACAGGTCGGGTCGAATTTCGGACGACGCGTAGATTCTACCAACTTTTTAACTTTTCAAGTCCATCTTTTTCTTCAGATGTCATGCCCTTTCTCTCTCTCTTCTCTTCTGTTTCTCGCTTTAAGTGATTTTCAGTCACATTTTTTCATTAAATGTTGTAAAAAAACTCGTCGATTTCTGGGTTATTTTTCAAATTTTGGAAACAAGTCACCAAAAATTAGGATTTCAACCTAAAACTCGTCGAAAAACTTAAATTTTCACTAGAAAATTCAACTAAATTCTGGAATTTCCAAGAAATTCCAAAAAAAATGTAAAAAAAAAAAAATTCAATCCCTCAATAGAAGCATTGACTTTCCCAGAAACCTTTTACTAAAACCAAAGCTTCTTCACCAAATTTTAATTTTGACCACTCCTTTCCCTTTCTATCTTTTCTCCTTCCCTTTTTTTTGTGTTCTTTCTCTAATTGCTGAAAGGTATATATAAGGCTGGGAACAAAGGTTTTGAAAATCAAAATCGCTATCTTCTAATCTATTTATCCTTGTTCAAAAAAACCAAATCCTTTTTTTGATCCTGTTTTCAAAATTTAAACCCTAATCCTAGAGTTTTACCAGGATTGAAATTTTTTTTATTTTTTAAATTATATTAACCTTATCTAAAACTCACTGAAAAAACAAATCCAAAAGTGGGTGTCTACGATTATCCCTCTTTGCATATTTTCTGTGAAACATAGATTATGAAAGACATAGACATTCATCGTGACCTTATTAAGAAAGATAACACCATGGCATAGATTGGATCAAGTCTAAAATGGAATGACCAAAAAATGGATTTGACACAAGTCAAAATTCAAAATAAAATAACCCGGACTGAACTGTAATCTAAAATAAATAACTTGGATTGAGCTGAAGAAAGATTTGACATAAGTCAAAATCTGAAGACAAAACGATCTAAATTGAATTGAAGTTTGAAATGAATAACTTGGACTGAGCCAAAGAAGGATTTGACATAAGTCGAAATCCAAAAACCAAATGACCTGGATTGAATTGAAGTCTAAAATGAATAACTTAGACTAAGCCAAAGAAGGATCTGGCATAGGTCAAAATCTAGAAACAAGATGACCTAGATTGAATCGAAGTCTGTCTTTACAGTAATTATGAAATTTCAAAATTTCAAAGGTGCACGATTTGAAGCATTCAAAAATTTCATAATCGAAAATTCCTAATGCAAGTTAAAACTCAAAGATTCGCAATTGAGTTAAAAAAAATCACAAATTTGGAATTCAAAGATTTGCAATTCAAACATTCGCAGAATTCAAAAATTCACAAGAATTTCGATTCGCAAGAATTGAAGATTCACAAAAATTTCAGATTCGTAAGATTTTCAGATTTGCAAGAATCAAAGATTTGTAAGACATTCAGATTTACAAGAATTGGAGATTCGTAAGACATCTAGATTCTTAAAAATTAGAGATTCACAAGGCTTTCAGATTTGCAGGAATTGAAGATTCGTAAGACTTTTAGATTCGCAAGAATTGGAGATTCGTAAGATTTTTAAATTTGTAAGATATAAAGATTCGTGAGATTTTTAGATTGTAGATCCATAAAATTTCATATTCGCATTTGAAAAACTTCTAGAGATTCACAACTAGAGTTTCAAAGGTTCTTATTCAAAATTTTGGAATTTCATGTAAAATTTCCAGGATTTTGATTCAAAAACTCTGGATATTCACATCAAAAAATTTTTAAAACTCAAAGTTCTCATTTAAATTATTAGAGATTATTCTTGGAGGTTTTACAAATCATCATCATCATTGAAAAGGTTTCTTTAAAAGGTTTCACAACTTTTAAAACAAAAATTGAGA